CATGTTGGCCAGGCTGGTCTCGAACTCCTGACCTCAGGTGATCCACCCACCTCGGCCTCCCAAAGTGCTGGGATTACAGGCGTGAGCCACTGCACCTGGCCTCATCTGTATTCTCTCTCTCTTTTTTTTTTTTTTTCTGAGATGAAGTTTCGCTCTTTTCACCCAGACTGGAGTGCAATGGCATGAACTCGCCTTACTATAACCTCTGCCTCCCCAGTTCAAACGATTCTCCTGCCTCAGCCTCCCGAGTAGCTGGGATTACAGGTGCTCTCCACCATGACTGGCTAATTTTTATAGTTTTAGCAGAGACAGGGTTTCATCTTGTTGGCCAGGCTGGTCTTGAACTCCTGACCTCAGATGATCTGCCTGCCTTGGCCTCCCAAAGTGCTGGGATTACAGGCATGAGCCGCTACACCTGGCCACCTGATTCTTATTTACGAGGAAGTTTAGGAAACACTGACTTAATAGGGGTTGGGGCCAGGTGGATATATTAAGAGTTTTCTGAGGGAAGAGTGAAGAAGTAGGGATCAATCCCAAGCAGAGTGGGTGTGGTGTGGGGCACAGTGGAACCCAGCTCTTGGGGAAGGCAGGATTTTGAGAAGGGCAATGGAGAGCAAGTTCCTAGAGTCAGAAAGCTGTTTTCAGAGAAGAAAGGCATCTGCAAGGAGCCCAGCTGACCCTGTGTTCTTCCAGGTGGCTGCATTGATGACACCATCCTCAGCAGGCAGGGCTTTATCAACTACTCCAAGCTCCCCAGCCTGTCCCTGGTGCAGGGGGAGCTTGTTGGAGGCCTCACCCACCTCACGACCCAGACCCACTCCCTGCTTCAGCACCAGCCCCTGCAGCTGACCACCCTGTTGGACCAGTACATCAGAGAGCAACGCGAGAAGGATTCTGTTGTGTCGGCCAGTGGGAAGCCAGATCCTCCTGACCCTGTTCCGGACTCGTAGCCAGCCTATTTAGCCAGCCCTGCGCATAAATACACTCTGCTCTATTGGCTGTGCTCTCCTCCGCGGGAGATGTGGAAGAACTTGGGGTGGGGGAGTGCGTTTGTCACTTGGTTTTCACTAACAATGATATTGTCAGGTATAGGGCCACTTGGAGATGCAGAGGATTCCATTTCAAATGTCAGCCACTGGCTTCATCCTTAGTTTTCCCAACTTGGGACCTGATAGGAGCAAAGTCTCTCTCCGTTCTCCAGGTCCAAGGCAGAGATCCTGAAAAGATAAGGCTATTATCCCCTGCCTCCTTGGTCACTGCCTCTTGCTGTACAGGCTCCTGAGCCCACCCCCTTGGGGCACAACCGGCCACGGCCACAGTAGCTCAACCAAGCAGTTGTGCTGAGGTGAGAGCCTGCTGTGTGCCAGGCTTTGTGCTGAGTGCCGTACATGTATTAGTTCCTTTACTCCTGACCACATTGTACCCATTTCACAGAGAAGGAGCAGAGAAATTAAGTGGCTTGCTCAAGGTCATGCAGTTAGTAAGTGGCAGAACAGGGACTTGAACCAAGCCCTCTGCTCTGAAGACCGCATCCCGAATTTCTACCCTAGAGCTTCCTCATCAGGTTACCCAGAAGTGGGTCCCGTCCACCATCCAGGTGAGCTTGGATGTTAGTTCTCCACCCTCGAGGTGTACGCTGTGGAAAGTTTGGGAGCACTGCTTTATAATAAAATGAAATGCATTCTACTTCCTTTATTTTGTGGTTTACATGGCTATCCTCCCTATAAACTTACTCTCAGGAGCTTCTCTGTCATCTGACTTTGCTCACTCTTGTTTCCCTTCCTAGGAAAATCCTCTTCTCCTACACCCGTTCTCGCAAATGGCATCCCGCACATGCTTGCCCTATTAAAGGCAGCTGACAGCTGTATACCCACTAGCTAACATGTCTCTGGTGGTTCTGGACAAAAGGCCTATGGGAAAACTAGGATTCTCTGTTAATGGGGAGTTCTGAGAGCTCTAGGGTAGGAGGCCTCATGCAAGTCTTCATGAACCAGACATTACTAATAAAGGAGATGGGATGCTTAACTCGAAGCCCACCGTCATCCTTGATTGGAGCACATTCTGGGTGGATGCAGGGGTGACCCGGGGAGGGTGGCTGTTCAACATTGTTTCTCGGACTTGAAGCAATGCCACCGCTTCCTTAGTCTTGGACAGGTACTGTCTGCAGCAGCCTTTTTGTGGCCTGGGCCAGGACCAGCTTCCCACAGTGCCTTGCCCTGTGCTGTATGCCCGGGATGCTCAATCACTGGGAAGTGACTTAAAAGGCCCTTGAGGCTCCTGGATGCCAGAGCTTGTCTGACCAGTGCTGCCCAGTGCTCCTGTCCCTACCAGAACCCTGCCAGGTACTAACAATGCCCTCCACCTGGGGTGGCTGGAGCAGCGCTGAGGCTCTGAATAAAGGCAAGACAGTGGGTGTCCCTGAGATATGTGAGACCCTGAAATGTGAACCAGGCCCAGTGAGGATGAAGTGGAAGGGATAAGTGGCCTAAGTCACTTTTGGGGTCAGAGAATAAACTTAAATCACATCCTTCACCTGAGGCCCCACCTACTTCTTTCCAGAAAAGACTACTTCTTTCCAGAAAACTATGCTGCACTTGAAGCTGTAGGTCTGTGCCACCTTCATTTGAATGAATTTTAGACCTTTGTTAAGAGCTGATTTTTCATGAGAATTGAGCAGCTGGACACAGTACTCCAGCAGAAGGGTAAAGGGAAGGGAGGGGACCAGCATTGCAGCCCTTTTAACAGCAGCTGTGACTGCCCCAGGCCTGCTCCTGATCAAGACACTGCAGGCTGTAGGGTGTCATCGTATGCACAGGCACTTTTAGATCCCTGTGGGGCCTGACCTAGTGGGGCATCACCCCAATGAAGGGCCTCAGTGTGGGGACTGCTGGCTGTCCCTCTTCTGGCTTGACTGCCCCTGCTGACTGTGCTCTTGGCACTGTCTTACTGTCCCAGAGGGGGCATCTGTCCCTCCACCATCAACCTGATACTTTTGCTGGCTCCAAATTTTGCAGTCTATTTTCAGATGTAAAATGAGAGGTGGGGGGTGGGGGTTAATTAGGAATTGGCCTTGGGCACTAACAGGATCACTGCCGTGGTAGTCTGAATAAAGCCTTTACCACCACTGGCGTATAGCCAGCAGTTCCCCAGTCCTCTGATCTATCTGGAACCATGCCCAGTGGGGACTGTGCCCCCGCTCCCAAGCCACATGGATACTAGGGCGGTCTGCTCAGCCCTAAGTCCTCCAGGGAGCAGGGGGGCAGAGCTGAGCGGTTGCCCGGAGCTTGGCGGGAGGAGGGGACAGGGGAGAGGGAGGTGGGGAGATCCGGCTAGAGGAGAGGCTCCGACGTCTCCTTCCTTCCTGGTTCCTGCAGCAGCTGCTGCCACTGCTCAGCTTGGTGAGGAGGGAGCCGGTGACTCGGAGACGGTGACTCAGAGGCAGAGCGGTGTGAGGGCCAAGGAGCACTGGCGTCCATGGACCCTGGGGTAAGGGGGCTGCGTGGCAGCAGCTGACATTCCTGAGAAGAGCTTCCTCCCACCTGAAGCTGGTGGGTCTGCTCCCGAGATGGTGGGAATGGAGGTGGAGAGGGGGCACCCACCTGGCTCGCCTAGACCCCTCACCTTCCTACCGATAGAGCCTCCCCCTCCACCCACAAGCAGTGAGGGGCCGGGATCCCCACAGGGCCTGGAGAAGGGCACAGAGATACCCAAACACCGGAAGAGTTTGGGAACTTTCAATGGCTGAATGCAGGAGTTTCCTCCCAGGTCAGCCTCTTGCAGCAAGGGTCCCTCTGCCCCAACCTCCTGGGCACCCGTTCCTGCCACATCCCTGTCCGTTCTGGGCCTCAGTTCCTCAGGTGCTTGCTAGCTCCATTAGAAGATCTGGGCTGCTTCCCCCACCTCAAACCAGCCTTGCCCCTCCAGTCCCCTCCCCCGTCTCACACACGCAGAGCCTCATGCATTATTGATCTCCCTGTGGAGCCAGGATGGCCAGGGCCAGTGCCAAGGGTGCCTGTGGGCACTGCTGCAGGACCTGTGCAGACCTGGGCATGTCCTGGGCCCCCTCTTCTCTCATGAAGTGTCTCTTTTAGCCCAGTGTCCTGCCCTCTCTGGGTGGGTGGCACTTCTCAGAGCCCCAAGGACTGGGACGGTAGACGGGATGGTGAGGCTTTAGGGGGCACTGAGGGTCCAAAGAGGGCATCCTAGGGGCATGTTTGGTAGGAGGAGACATGGGAAAATGGGGCTATCTCAGGCCTCAGTTTCTCCAAGCACTAGAGAATATGGAGACTAATTGGTGGGAGACTGGGGAGTTTTCTGCAAGGGGATCATGGCAGGGAAGTCTCTGAGTCACGGTGGCAGGGTGGAGGGGTCCTGAAGGCAGAGGCAGCTGGATTGAGGAGGTCTCGCTTCTCCAGTCTCTGAACCCCTCTGTCTCTTCTTGGAGCCTCTTCTGTCACTCCCTTTCTTCACCTCTGAGCACTCCTAGGGAAGCCTCTAAAGAAAGCACTGAATATTTCCTGGAGTCCCAAAGTATGTGCCCAAGGCAGGCTGCGCATATGTCTTGTGGTTTTCCCTGGGCATCTGCCTGTCTGCTGTGTGCTAGTTCATGTCTCAGGGCAGTGTCCATATCAGGTGAAAATGGGCGGGGTCAGGACAGAGGGGCAGACTTGGGAGAGGCATGGCAGGTGAGCAGAGGGTGTGTTGGTGAGTCCTTATCTCAGAGGATGTGGGAGGGGTTGGAGGCGGGGAAGGTGATCAGAATTTGCGCCAAGGGGGTCTTTCTCTTGCTTCAAGGACTCCATCAGGAGCAGGTGACATCCTTCCCCTTCCACCCTGCTCCCTGCTCTACGTCCCCAGCAGGGAGTGGCCTCTCCCTTCTCCATGGACTTCCAAGAGAGGGACCCGCCCTTCCTGCCTGAGAGCGCTCAGTCCTCAAAGCCCAGCAGTGCTCAGCAGGTCAGAGAGCGCGAAAGCAGTGGTGGGTGGGCCAAGCTTGAACCGGACCAGGAGGGGCCAAGGCGGCCATCTCACCAGTGCTCCCCTCCCTCTGTCCTGGACTGCAGGCCTCTGAGCTGTGGGAGGTGGTGGAGGAGCCTCGGGGCAGGCTGGGGACAGAGGGTGTCATGCCTGAGAGGCAGGAAGGTCACCTGCTCAAGAAGAGGAAGTGGCCTCTGAAGGGCTGGCACAAGGTAGGGTGGGCAGGCAAAGGGAGGGGCCAGACATGGGGGCGGGGTGGGAATGGGGGGCAGCTGCCAGGCAGTCCGATGGTGTTTGCATGATGAGAAAGAAAAGAAAAGCTAATTTGTGTGGTTACCCTCTCCCTCATGCCCTTCCTCTCGGCCTCCTGGGTCCTGTCACTCCTGGGCAACATCACAGAGATACTTTGTGCTCGAGGATGGAATCCTTCATTATGCAACTACCCGGCAAGACGTGAGTCCGGGCAGTGGCTTGGGGTTGTGGGAGGAGTCTGGCCCCAGTATGCCCTGGGCAGGCACGGGGTATCCGGAATCGACCAGAGCAGGGTCTGAATCCCAGGTCCACCACTTGCTGAATGTGTGATCTTGGGCGAGTTACATCCCTGGGCCGTAGCTTCCTCATCTCTAACAGGAGAGTGCCTTCCCCCAGGTGCAGAGCTGTCATGGTAAGGGAGGTCATACACACAAGGCTCTCTGGACAGGGCAGAATAAGTGCCCAAGAAATGGGGTCTTTACCACTCTCATCCTGGTCCCATTCTCAGGCTGGGAACGAGGAACTGAAGGCCTGAGTACCCAGGATCTCTCTGGGAGGGCGTTGCCTTCCACAACCCTCCAGACCCCTGAGGGTGGGAATAGTTTTTCTTGATCTGTGACTTCTTAGAGCTCAAGATGTGACTTGACATAGGGGAGCGCTCTGCACATGGGAGGATGATTGACAAGTCTCTACTGATAGTGTGACTTGGACATGAGAGTGAACCTGCCACCTGGCCCTTGAACCTAGAATGGCTTCAGGGAGATGGTAGCTCTATGGCTCTGAGAGCCTAAAATTGGTCCCCTGTACCCCCACCAACACTTCACTCCCAGATCACCAAGGGGAAGCTCCATGGCTCCATCGATGTCCGGCTGTCGGTCATGTCCATCAACAAAAAGGCCCAGCGCATTGACCTTGACACTGAAGACAACATCTACCACCTCAAGGTGACATCCCTGGGAGGCAGGACATGTGTTGGCCCCCAGCCTGGCAGAGGCATTGGAACACACAGGGGCAGGGCCTGAGGGTCTATGGAGCTCAGGGTCTGTCTCTGAGTTTGACAAGAAGTAAGTTTCCATCCTGTAAAAACTGCCAAGGGCAAACCTGCACTTCTTGGTTGTTGCATGGACAGGCACAGATCTAAGGGCTCAGAAACCTGGGCACCTTGCACTCTGTCTCTCTGCAAGTGAGCTTTGCACAAACCTGGCTCTGTAAGAAGGGACTCTGCTTGTCTGGGGATCAGAGCCCTGACTTCTTGCTCTTGGAAAGTGTTCCCTCCCTTCAGATAGCCCTCCCCGTCTCTATCACTTCTGCAGATCAAATCCCAGGACCTGTTCCAGAGCTGGGTGGCACAGCTGCGTGCCCACCGCCTAGCCCACCGCCTGGACATGTCCCGTGGCACACTGCCCAGTACCGCTCACCGGAAGGTAAGGTGGACCCTGGGGTGCAGACAGGTAATGTGGCAATTC